TGTTTAGAACCAAGCCTGCAGAGACTCAGTCTCACAATATCACAAGGAAGTTAACAATACTCTATTGTATATTTGGAAGTTGCTAAGAGAGTAGATCTTAAAAGTTCTTATCACAAGAAGAAAAAATTGTAACTCTGTGTGGTGAATGTTAACTTACTGTGGTTATATGTCAATTGTACCTCAAGTTCTTAAAAAAGAGAAGCACAAGGAACATATAAGGAACAGAGCAACTGGGTTTGAATAGAATATTACGGGTTAAGAGGACTGGAAGCAAAAGTGACATTCACATGTAAGGTGAAGATTATTAAAGTACCACCCAGGATTACCATTCAGGATTGCTATGAGAACTAGATAAGGTAATGCCTGCCACATAGTAAATGTTAATAAATAGTAGCTGCGATCATTCACCTGACTAGAGACAGGGAGGCCAATTGATTACTCGGTGAGTTGAGCAGGTGATGTGAAGACCTGTCACCTGGCAGTAATGGTAGCAACAGAGAGGTTAAGGGGGGAAAAAGGATGGACACTATTTAGATTGGAAAGGATAGAGAAAGGGGATTTTTAAAGGGAAAGCTTTTTGACTATAAAATTTAGAAACATTTAAGCAACAAAATATCATGAACAAAGTGTTATCTCCCCTAAATTAATCTATGAGTTTAGTGCTAAACTAATGAAAATACTAATAGGTTCATTTGGGGGTGATGTTTTTTTCAATTTTGTTTGGGGTTTTGTTTTTGGTGGGGTTCTTGTTTTGGGGTTTTTTTGTTTTGTTTTTTAAAAAAAGAATTTATTTGCAACTGCAAAGGGGAAAGATGGTTCTCATAGCAATCTTTTAGCACCTGGAATGTTGGAACATTCTGTTGGTTCATCCACTATGAGCATATTGGTGGAAAACCATATGAAAATACAAACTTCTGAAGAAGTATCAGTTTTTTTTTAATTTTACTTTATTTTTTTGTACAGCAGTTTCTTATTAGTCATCCATTTTATACATATTAGTGTATACATGTCTATCCCAATCTCCCAATTCATCCCACCCCCCTCCCCCCACCCCGCCTTCCCCCCTTGGTGTCCATACATTTGTTCTCTACATCTGTGTCTCTATTTCTGCCCTGCAAACCGGTTCATCTGTACCATTTTTCTAGGTTCCACGTATATGCGTTAATATATGATATTTATTTTTCTCTTTCTGACTGACTTCACTCTGTATGACAGTCTCTGGGTCCATCCACATCTCTACAAATGACCCAATTGTGTTCCTTTTTATGGCTGAGTAATATTCCATTGTATATATGTACCACATCTTTATCCATTCGTCTGTCAATGGGCATTTAGGTGGCTTCCATGACCTGACTGTTGTAAATAGTGCTGCAATGAACATTGGGGTGCATGTGTCTTTTTGAATTATGGTTTTCTCTGGGTGTATGCCCAGTAGTGGGATTGCTGGGGCATATAGTAATTCTATTTTTAGTTTTTTAAGGAACGTCCATAGTGTCCTCCACAGTGGCTGTATCAATTTACATTTGGTGGGGTTCTTGTTTTATATCACTTTTTAAATCAAAATTTATTGAGATAAGTAGTTTTTTTTTTTTTACAGATTTCTTCTGACAGTTCATAGCGTATATAAATGGTCTTTATTGATTTAAATGTCTCTCCCTGATCATATAAAAATTCAATTATGGGTTAAATAATAGTGGGCCATTTAGTTCAACCTAAATACAGTACATATATGGATCTAATTCTAGAGTCTAATGGTCTGATATCCATAAGAATTTTATTATAACCATCTAGATTTGCAAAACACTATCTTAGGAATTACAATTCTATCAAACTTCAATTTGAGCAAATGTAGCATCAATTAAGTAAAAGCAGTTAATCTGAAAAGAGATTTATTTAAATTATTTTTAAAGAGAGAAAACACAGATGTCCTGCTATGGATGTTTAGGAGTTGGCTGCTGTAAACCTGAATCAGACCTGCAGGTGATGCTCATGCCTGAGCCCTCACAGCTGAAACCTCTCCCTTCCTTTGGGACCTGATGATTCAGGGAGTCTCCTGATACTCTCCCACCTCTGACCAGGGCTGCATGTGGAACAGTGGGGGCAACTTGGGAAAAGCTGGAATTTAAACTGCTTCAGCCAATTTTTGTCTGTTTTGATTATTTTCTTAGCTCAGTGAACTTGCACTCAGCCAAGCTGCCGAACAACTTTCTTGAGCTTTTTTCTCATGGGAGACAATCCAGCTTTGATAAAAGGAAGTGCTTCTTTCCAACTCTTTCTCAAGGCCATCCCTTCTAGGGGTCATGTTTCTGATGTATATGACTAATAATTTTTGTGCACTTTGGGACATTTCTTCTCGATTTATATGCAGTAAATTCTCTCCTTGATTGATTTTGATTTTCTGCAAATTTGCATCACACTTTTTTTGTTTTTTGGGTTTTTTTTAAGAATACCTTTTCTCTCTCCTAACTTTATTTATTTATTTATTTGTTGGCCACATGAGGCCAATATCTGGATGTTTGAACGGGGGGTACCATAGCAGGTCTATGTCAGGGGGAGGCAGCCATAGTTAGAAGCTTGGGCACGGGGTATTGGCGCCTGAGCAGGGAAAGGTGTGTTCCAGTTAGGGAGCTGGTGGTGGTCCACAGCAAGACTTTGAGGTCTGAACAAGGACTGGAGGGCATCTGTTGAGGGGGGTGGGACGGCATGAAAGATAGATGGTGAAATGCTTACCTACAAAGGTGATTCATGCAGTAAATTGGTAATCTGAGATTAACAGAAGCCATTTTCTCACTATGGGGAGAAATTGATTTAAAAATATGAAAAGAGATCAGAATGAAAAAAGAATGAACCCTTTGTAGTTGATTTAAGATTGGAGTTATCAGTGTGAACTCATGATTTTCAATATATAGAGAAATAAGTAATGAGGTAAATGTGCTCACTTTGTAATTGGGTTTTCTTTTTATTGTTGAGTTGTAAGAGTTACTTATATATACCACATACAATTCCGTTATCAGTTATATCACTTGCAGATATTTTCTCCCAGTGCTGTGTGTCTCCTCCTTCTTGATTTGTCCTTCATTTGAAGCACAGCGCTTTCAATTTTGATGAATTCCAATTTACCAACATTACTTGTGGTTTTGCATCATAACTAAGAAACCATTACCAAATCTAACGTTGCAAGGATTTACTCTTTTGTTTTCTCCTAAGAGAAACAAGGAGAAATCTTAACTAGGGAGTAGTCTTAACTCCTATACTTAGCTCTATGATTCTTTTTTTGAGCTAATTTTTGTAATGGTGTGAGATAGGGATCCAACTTTATTCTTTTGTCAAAAAAAAATTGTTTTTGCATTCCCACTAACACTTTTATTAATTACAGGAGGATTGGTTATAGCAGGGTGAAGGGGTGATTCAGTGACACACAATAGTAAATAAATAAGCAGCTGTGGTTGGTCTTGGGGGGGGCACAGGTTCTTCTATAAGAAGGGGAGGATTGAGGCTCAGGGCCCTGTCATGAGGACAGACGCTGGCCAAATCCTAATGAACTTTTCTTTTTCAGAATTTATTTGTTTGAAAATGGGAGGGAGAGGGCTTATTTTAAGTGTTAAGACTGGACAGAATCAGGAAGGGCAGTGGGGGAGGGTCTTTTAGTATTTTGTGGAATGACATTTTTTTTCAGTGTGTAATGTCTCTTTATTCAGTGTTTTTTCTCCTCTGTGCAATCTTGTCTTTTGGTGAAAATGATGCAGTTATGCCACACTGGCATTTCCAATGACACAAGGTGATTTTAGGTGGTTTACGGACTTGGCATTAAACAACAGTGAGTCACAGAGTGAGCAAGTCATTTCTTTCTCTTGCAAGCCTTCTAATTAGGTCAAAAGATTTTCTCTGATTCTTGCTAATCTCCCTCTTTAATAACGAGGGCACGTCTCAAGTTGACAGCATTCTGTGACCATCAGTATCTTCCTAGGTTTCAATAAAAGTAATTTGCTTTCATTATCTTCATTTTTTATAATCATCCTCTACTTATGAAAAATGATACTGATTTTCCATTTAGGATGGTGATATAAGTTAAGCCAAAAAAATTTTTCAGTGAAAAGAAAAACAGACAGATGTTATGTAGATGTCACACAGATAAATTGCAATATATTTATACAAATAATGACACCATTCCAGAATTTCTGGTCCCTTATGATTTCTTCTGCATGTGCTTTTGAGAGGGATTTGGGAGCTCAAAGGAGCTAAATTGCCTTTGGAATATTTAAGACAAGACATCAGCCAAACTACAGTAGCTTTTACTTGTTTACAAGTCCTTACACCACCTTCTGGCTTAACAGAAAGTTCTTGTCATTAATTATCATAGCATTGATCCTTGAAGTGAAATGTGATTAGAACTGCACGATATGTAGTGCTGAAGATACAGGACCTCTGCAGTATATTATTGTAGCATCATGGAATTTTAGAAAACAAAGAGACATTACTGACACTTTCCTGATCAGGTGAATCTGACTATAATTTGGTAGGTCATTTAGCTCTTGGTCTTAAACCTGTAAAGGTATCCTTTGTGAGTGCTCTGCAGCACAGACTCACCTGCAACAGTCCTGTTAGAGTTCATGTAGGTCAAGAGGCTGCGTCTTCAAAAATCAGAATAGCAGTTTGTTAGTTATTAGCCATATTTCAACTTAAAAAGAAATCAGATGATCCCAGAACACATACTTGAAATATCTTCCTCAGAAAATAATACTGTAGATTTATTATTACTGGCACAGAGAGTATCATCCATTACAATGTTTATTGACGAAGCTTTTCCCATTTTAATATTTATCATTTCCTCAATCAGTATTGCTAGTTGCCCTATAAAGAATTTAACAGCCAGCTTAATAGTAGAGATGATGTACACTGTTTCTACAGCATTCTGAAGCAGAACATGACATGTCCACATCAAATTCAACAAAAAGTGTGAGGGAAATCATTTCAGCATCTCTCAGGGGCCTCGCTGGCTCTCACGGAGAGTAAGGTGGTGGTGACTGTTCTGTGGAGAGTTTCTCATAGGCAGGTGGAGCGTTGGGAACCTGTAAGGGTGAGAAAGGAGAGCATGGGCTTGGCAGCAGTACATATGGTTCTGGAAGAGGGATTAAGTCAAAATAGTTAGCATGATGTTTATACTTTTGCTCTGGATTGAAACTTGTTTAACTGTCCACAGCTAATTTCCACCCAATGAGGTAATCGTTATTAGGTTACACAAGTATATATGTTGAAGCATTGTTGGGGGAAACAATGGCAGAGAAAAAAAAGGGCTAAGTGGCTTCCCAAAAATTTCAGAAACTTATTTATACCTGGATTATCCTTGTCAGTAGAAGCCCCAAACCTAACTAATGAATTCTTGAATCCTGTTAAACAGACACCGATCGCACTGCATCTTTACCACAAGCATAAATCCCTATAGTCGTGTCTAAAGGCCACTGCTACTATCAACAGAGCACAAATGTGTCAGCCTTCATTTAATGCTCACAACAGCCCTGGGAGTATTTTCAAGGTTTTCATGTTACAGGTCGGGAAACTGAGGCACAAGGAGGTTAAGTCACTTGCCGAAGATCACACAACTGGTAAGTCATGGAGTAACTTGGCTCTGGAGTCAGTGCTCTCAAAAACTATGATGTACTACATCTATACCAGCACTGTCCAATAGAAATACAGTGTACCACATATGTGATTTTAAAATTTCTAGTAGCTACAGTTTAAAAAATTAAGAGAAACAGGTAAAATTGATCTCACTAATATATTTTATTTAACCCCACCTACCAAAATATTATCACTTTGACATGTAGTCAATAAAAAATCATTAATGAATTATACTCTTTTCCTCATACTAAGTTTTTGAAATCTGGTATGTATTCCAGCACATCTTAATTCAAACAACTCTGTTTCAAGTGTTCAATAGCCACATGTGACTAGTGGCTACCCTATTGAACAGTGCAACTCTATACAGTTAATAGTAGGTACTTTTTTTTTCTCCGTTAGATAATATCTATGTTCAGGACAAAGGCAATTATACTAAAAACATAAGACAAAAGTATATTGTAACCAGAACCAAATTCTTCCTTTAGATCTTACATGTGGGGTCTCATTATTGACCCTGGAAAATCTGGGTATGAGAGGACACAATTTAAGAAAATCTCTATGATTCCCTTGTTTTTAATCTTACTATTTATTTTTTATTATGGTAAAATATACATAACAAAAATTTACCATTTTAACCACTTTTTAAAGTCAGTAGCATTAAGCACATTCACATTGCCCTTGCTTTCTAAATGGGAATAATTTTATTCATTTAAGTTAAAACCAGCCATACACAAAAAACACCAAGATACAGGATCTCAACCTACCACAGGTTCACAATTGTTCTCTTGAAAAGGCAGTTTGGCGTCCTGGTAACCAAGCCCCTCACATGAACATCTTCCTGTTAAGGTACTTTGAGTACCAGCATGAATGCTTTTGTCCTGAAATGTGAATTCATGAAGGTAAGTGGGTGAGGAAAAAATAATTGAGTCCATTAAAGAAAAGAGGAAGAAGCCAAAGTTTTAAGAATGGGTTTTAATCTTGGTTCTGCCACTTACTCGCTGTGTATCCTCAGGCTAGTCACTTTATCTCTCTGAATTCCAGTGTTTTCATCTGTAATATGAAGATAATATCGCCTACATCTCAGAATTGTTGTGGAAATTAACTAAAGGTGAAGCACCTAGTACAGTGCCTGACACCCACTAGTTAGTCAATGAATATTTTTGAAGGGAAGGAAAAAAAGTGAATCTAAAAAATGGCTCTCAGAGAATGGTTACAAGTGGAAGAGATCAGAGCTAGTGAAGCAGGAGCTGGTATCACAGTAAGGACAAGCATATGAGCAACTTGATAGCAGGGACATTGTCTATTTCTGCCTTCCCCATAATGACAGCAAAATATCTGAAACAGTACGAATGCCTGTGTTGTGATAGAAATGCTGTGGCTGTAGCACTGAGCTTCCAAGTCACATCACAACAATGATGGCAAGTCAGTCAAAGGCTGTCGTGCACCTTGAGTTATTGGGGAAGGGGTGGGTAAAAGCTTAGTTCGGTGGTTTGCATAGGTTCAGGGGGTAATGCCTTCCCTCCCTAGAATAGAATGACAACCATTTATGCAAGGCAGAGACACATACAAAAATGGGGACTGCAGGAGCGGTCCATCCTAGTGAGGGGGAGTATTTCATTACTGACATTGTTTAAAATTGCTAGCACATTGTGATTATAAAAAGCAGACTAACTTTAGTTGCTTTTACTGTTAAATTCTCCACAGCAGTGGTTCTCAAACTTTAGAATGCATCAGCGTCACCTGGAGGGTTTGTTAAACACAGATTCCTGGGCTCACACCCAGAATTTCTTACATAGTATGTCTAGCGTGAAGGCCCACGAATTTGTATTTCTAACAAGTTCCCTGGGTGATGCGGATCCTGCTGGTCCAGGGCCACACAGAGAACCACTGCTCTCCAGACAATGCAATTTCTTATCGCCTGTGCCTGGGGTGACTCAGCTACGCTTAGACACTTAGAGGGAGGAGGAGGTCAAGTGGGGACCATAGGAAAGGAGGGAGTGTATATCCCATCTAAAGGGACAAACCACTGCATAGCTGCCAGTTTTTGCCAGATCTTTTGATTTTTTAAAAAAAAAGAAACTAGAAATTAAGATTTTTATGTAAACTGTTACTTTTAAATGCTTGCACCTAATTCATCTTTTGAAGATACAGACCCAAACATATCTGAACCCAATCCACCAGTAGGGCATGAGCAGCTCTCTGTGGTCCTGGCTGAGGGGGGTTGGAACAGGGAGGCCGTGCAGGTGTTCAGTCCCTCTGCAGGCTTGTCTTCAGACCATGGCTGATTATTGGGGTTACTGGGTTGGAAGAGAAGGGCATCAAGGCAGGTCTCCCAGGGAGGAGAAGTGTTTGGAACATCAATTGGATGAGGCCACACATGGTTGGAGGTGATACCTACACAGTGTGCAGACTGTAAAGAAGTAATTTTCCTCAACTCTAGTCTGAAATCATTATTGACACTACCCCTTGGAAAGATATAAGCACAAGAACCCCAATTTTGACATGAGGGCCCAGGGAGGTTCTGCTCCCCTCCACCACTCCCAGCAATATATCTCAGGTAAGGTGTTTAATGCATTCTCTCCCTTTACCTCAATTATTGCTTTTATTCTTCTTTTTTTTTTTAAATCCTCACCTGCCATAGGATAGGAGCGTGGGCCACTTCCCCAGTTCACTGCCAATTCTCTGTATTTGCATCAAACTTCAGTGTGTGTGTTAAAACATAGGTTCCCGGGTCCCACCACCAGAGATGGTCCCAGAATCTGCATTTTAGCAAGAACCCTAGGTGATTCAAGTGCAAAGGCCCCTGACCATACATTGAGAGACATGGCACCGCAAGACATGAGTGTAAACTGAGCTATCAGCAGGGCCTTTAAATTCTTCCCCAAGAATTAAAAGTATTATGTCCTAAACTTCCCAAGTGAAAGAGTAAAACTGATAAATATGAAAGCCAACTTCCACTCCCTAACAAATCATTTTCCTCTCAGACACATTGCTGCAAAAAGCAGTCTTTCCTTTCAGAAGATGTTTTTCAGATCTAAGGGGAATTGTTAGCCAAAGGGGAAATTTTAGGAGACCTTAATTCCAACCAACCTTTCTACCATTCTGTGGTCAGTGTAAGTGGGAGAATAAACATATTTCAAAGCCTAATGAAGGTTGCTACATGTGGAGTGATTCAGGTACCCAAAACTTGCGTTTATCATCACTTATGTTCTTCTGCTTTATAGTGAAAATAGAATCACCAAAGAGAGACAGGGAGATGAGTATGTAACTAAATGCAGTACTTAATGCACTATTTTACATAATTTTGCCTAAACTTCTTAGACTGCTGGTCCCCAACATGGCTTTTCAGGAGATGTGAAAGTCTCAAAACAATATTTTAATATTAATTTAAAAAATAAATGACAGGATTTTTAAACATTAGGGAACAAGGGAATTTAAACACAGTTCTATCTCATAAAAATTCCAAAAACTCTGCAAATCACTGGTCTAGACCTGGAGGAATGGAGGGTGGCAGGTTGAACTTGAACTACACCAGGCAAAATGCTCAGTGTTTGAGCCCACGACACTGAGACTGTTACTCTTCAAGTGAACACATTTAAGATGAGAGTGTTGAAACAGAAAGGAAAAAGAAAAACAAAACACATTGCTTTTTTGTCCAGGTAGCATCAAGCTAGCAATCGTGGACAGTTAGGAAATGGGTACCAACATACTGAGTTTGTAGAGGTTTTACTCCTTGAAAGACTAAATCATTTTTCTTTTACTATGCAGACATAGGGCTTCCCTGGTGCCACAGTGGTTAAGAGTCCGCCTGCCAATACAGGGGACACAGGTTCGAGCCCTGGTCTGGGAAGATCCCACATGCCACGGAGCAACTAAGCCTGTGCGCCACAGCTACTGAGCCTGCTCTCTAGACCCTGCGAGCCACAACTACTGAGCCCGCGAGCCACAACTACTGAAGCCTGCACTCCTAGAGCCTGTGCTCTGCAACAAGAGAGGCCACCGCAATTAGAAGCCCACTCACCGCAACAAGAGTAGCCCCCGCTCACCGCAACTGGAGAAAGCCCACGCGCAAGCAACGAAGACCCAATGCAGCCAAAAGTAAATAAATAAAATAAATAATAAATTTATTTTAAAAAACTTTTTAAATATGCAAACATAGAATGAAATTTTTTTAATTATAGAAGAAAACATATTAAATAAAAACTGATACACATCATGTTATATCATCTGTGTCTAGGTGTATAATAGAGTAAATGAGGCTCAGAGAAATGAAAATCTAACACCACCAAGCAAGTCAATGGCAGACAATGAGACCAACTCCTTATGCCATACGATTGGGTGAGTGCTGTGTGCCAGGCACCGTGCTAGGCACTGGAGGTACAAAGATGAATAAGAAATATTCTCTGTCCCAGCTCATAAACAAGAGGAAGAGAAGGGGTGAAGAAGCAAAAAGTAAATAACAAATTACAAGGCAATGTCATAACCCAGTGCTAGAGGTACACATGGAGTGTGTGGCAGAGAGAAAAGAGTTTTATCCCTAACCTCCTAACCCAAGGCTTTGCTACAGAACTTGGTCTGGAGTCTTATTCAGGCTCAGAAACTTCTCCTTCCCATAACTGTCACCACACTGGAGGGCTGCTGCTTGGTGGCTGTATCCCCCCAAGGTCACCCTGTCTTCCATGGTTGGTATCTGGGACGCTATGGCAAGATGGGCATTAGGGAAAGGGACACATGGGACTGCCCAGGCTTCCCGGCAAGGAGGAGAAGAACTTGAAGCTACAGCTCTCCCCTTTCCTTTCTCCTCCTCAGACTGCCACAGGCTCCAACCCTCCACCCAGGCCAGTCCTCTCCTCCATCACAGAACCTCTTTCTCTGCATGAAGTGCTTGCTGAATGAGGACTGGAACTTTCCAACATCTTTTGTTAATATAAATTTTTTTCCATTACTTATCAACCTCAGAAGCTTTCAGATCTGCAATAACAAGGCAGAGAGGGAGAGAGAGAGAAAGAAAGAGAGAGAGCAAGTTGCAACTCTCCTTCCATCCCATTTCTCACAGTGGAGAATGCTTAAGTTCCAAAGTGCTACCTGGCTTTGAAGCAAGGTTTCTGAAACCTGTCATCTTTACAGTTTAGAGACTCTGTTGATGTTTCTCATGTGTGGAAGATCCTGCTACCCCAAGGCTGGACCGTGTCATTTGTTAACTTCCTGCTCATATGGGTAAAGGAGCAAAAATCCTATTAAAACCACATTGGTCATCAGTGGAGGAAGGAATCTGTTAAAAACCTGGTGGTCTTTTGTGCTGCTGAGGGGTGGATGGTTTCCTCACTGCACTGATGGCTGGACGGGTCCTGGGTATGATGGGTTGCTTGCTAACAGAGTTAGAAGAACTTGGAATTCCCAGGCAACCTGGGAGGAAAGGGGTGAAGAGGCAAGGTGAGAGGAGCAGGCCTCTAAGTGGAGTAACAGAGCCAGTGGGAATCCCCAGAAGGATTGGTAAGATCTGGAGTGTCTCAAATGTTGCTGTTCACTGTGCAAGAGAACCACGAACCCTTCTCCTGTGCCCCACAAACCATTAGTGTTCAGCTACACACACAGATAGGCACTCGAGTTTCCTGTGAGTGGAACCAAAAACATGGACCAAGTTCCTGACTGGTGTTCACATGTGGGCAGAGGCAAAGGAAGAGTTACAAGAAGTACAATGTAGAGAAAGACTCATTGGAACCAGGAATCAGAGCTAGAGGTGATCATGAGAATGTCCCCCCACTCCCCAGAAATTCAGAGAAAGAAGGAGAAAGGAGGTCCTTGATCTGGAGGGACACAGCAGTGGGAACTTTACCACCTTCAAGCTTCTGTATCCACTTCGTCTTCTACAGTACCAGCAGGTGATGAGCAGTAAAATTCCCAGGATCACTGTCAGGATGCCAATCCCTGCAGCCCTGGCCCGAGAGATAGACAAATACATCTTGGTACAGAAACCTTGTTCCAGATTATAATGAAATGTGCATCAATGTGTTCTCTTCACAGGGGCTTTGCAGTCAGAGCAGTCCCCAAGGAGTGTCCCACTCCACACCACACCAAGCACCCACCAGGCCTCCAGCACTCGTACCCAGGGACAGGACCATCTCTGGAAGCCTCTCAGGTGTGTACCCACAGCAGCAGTGCTAATTGGCCTGGGCCCCAGCACCCAAGTTCCAGGTGCAACAGGTGCAGTAGCAACTGACCCTTATGTGGACAACATATTTATTGAGACAACATGTTTATCTTTTCTTTTCATTAGGGCTAGTTTAAAACATCTTCCCCAACTATCAGTCCACAAAAAAGAAGTGGAAAGGAACACTGACTTAATGTCTGCTGTAAGCTGGGCACCATTCTACATGCATTAGATTATCGAATTCTCACAACAACCCCGCCAAGCACTGGTGCAAGCACCCCACTATAGGCCTGTAACAATCCACTGGGGTGGGTAGGATGTCCATTTCACATCTGACATCCTCAAGATTTTAGGCTGGTAAAATGCCCAAGGTTGTACAACCGGAGAGTGGCAGAACCAGCATTCCCAGCGACTGGCCCGAGGTACCCAGCCAGTGTCCTTCCTGCCGCATCGCCCTTTCCTGAAATGAAGCTGTCACGGGGACATTCAATGGGCTCTCGTGACTGGAGGCAGCTGATTCAACTCCCAGCATGCCTGTGCTCTAATTCCACCCCCCAGGTCTGTGGTCACCCCCTTGGACATTTTGACACACATAGAGCTCTGTTCCAGCTCTTTTATTTTTTTTTTTCAATTTACTTATTTTTGGCTGCGTCAGGTCTTCATTTTGGTGCACAGGCTTCTCACTGCGGTGGCTTCTCTTGTTGCGGAGCACGGGCTCTAGGCACGCGGGCTTCAGTAGTTGTGGCTCGTGGACTCTAGAGCGCAGGCTCAGTAGTTGTGGCGCATGGGCTTAGTTGCTCCGCGGCATGTGGGATCTTCCCAGACCAGGGCTCGAACCCATGTCCCCTGCACTGGCAGGCGGACTCTTAACCACTGCGCCACCAGGGAAGCCTTCTGTTCCAACTCTTCATGCACAGTTACATTGCACTCACACACGCCTAGTGAGAGCCGAGAACACTGGGATGTGCCAGACACAAGAACCCACTGCCCAGCCAGGCAGGGCTCCTGAGATGTCACCCAGATACCTTCTGCAGTGGAGTTGCCTGAGATGCATGTTAAAGTGCAGACCCTGGGGCTTCCCTGGTGGCGCAGTGGTTGGGAGTCTGCCTGCCGATGCAAGGGGCGTGGGTTTGTGCCCCGGTCCGGAAAGATCCCGCGTGCTGCGGAGCGGCTGGGCCCGTGGGCGGCAGCCACTGGGCCTGCGCGTCCGGAGACTGTGCTCCGCGGCGGGAAGGGCCACAGTGGTGAGAGGCCCGCGTACCGCAAAAAATAAAATAAAATAAAGTGCAGATCCTGGGCCCCCCACCCCCAGACCTACTGAGTCAGCCTCTTGGGTAGCAGTGCCTAGGAAGCTGCATTTTCACAAGATCTATAGACAGCTTATGCCCCCTCAACTGAGAACCTCTCTTGACGGTGGTTTCACAGAGTCTGTTGAGTCATCATACAAGAGCTGAAAGATATCCTACCTAATACCATGTGCAAGAGTATATTTTTGCTCTTGGGACATTTTTTCAGAAGATCTCCCCACCTCCACTCCCAGTTGACCATGCAGGGATGTTAGAGAATCCCACTAGGGTCTTCTGAGGAAATGCTCCAGCCTGAACTCCTCCTCGGTGCCTTTGATGGGTTCTTCATGTCTCTTGCCCCTGCTAGGTCATTCTGGTAAAGCTATTCAACAGTTCTTTCCCGAGAGAGCAGGTTTGCAGAAAGTTCTGAGCAGACCACTTAAGAGATGGTCCACATAAAAACCAGGTTCCTCGTTTGTCCTGTTGGAGTCTCCACTCGGGGTTGTGGGGGGCCCTGCCACTATCCCCCGACCTTGCCCACTCTCATCCATGCAGAGTGTGTCCTACAGCATGTGTTCCCATCACAGCACATACACTTGCCGAAATTACTCCCATGCCTAACTCTCCCACTAGGTTGTAAGATTTTTTTCAAAGGCAAGAATAGCATATTGGGCTGGTATTATACAATGCTTAGCACTTAGAAATGTCTAATCATGTAAATACTTATTTTAAATTAATTCATAATACGAAACACCTTTCTTTAGGATAAAGTATTGATGCAAAGGTTATGACCCTCTTCACCTTGGAGTCAGTCAGCAGGTGGAGTCACACACATCTACCCTTCATCCTCACTTGCCCTTTGGCAACTTGCCTTTGTTCTGTCTGCAAACCACATCCGGAAGCCTGAGTGGAGTAGACAGGCAAGGCTTGAGGAAAGAGGCATCTTGCTCCCAGACAGATGTTTTTTCAGCCTGAGAACCTACAATGAATGCCTCATAGCCAAGAATGCAGACAAAAATGGCAAGATCCAGCTTTTTACCTTTCCTACCTCCTTGCCTCCTTGGCCTCAGAGGAGCTTGAGGTCCCTTGTAGGATCACAGGGTCTCCTCACCTCATTGCCAGGGTCTTTACTTTCTGGAGTAATAGACACTAGAGAGTTTTACAGACAGGCATGTGCTGGGGGAAGCCAGCAGGCTGTGTAAGCAAAAGACAAACTGGAAACCCTGCTGCATCTGGTTTTGAACTTACTCTTCAGCTGTGATGTAGGAATGGCCGTGCCCCTTCTTGGGGGAACCATAGATGTAGTGAGCCTCTTTTCTTGGCATCTTGTGGGGTCAGGCCTCAGGTCACCTAACAGCAGGGGCACACAAGTGTCATTTCACGCATCCAGCATGTTCTTACATCTCATAAACACCCACAAAGACATTCTCGCTAGGTGACCAGGAATGACAGCCGAACCCTCCGGTTTCTCCCTGTGAGAGGCTTTGCACCTCCTTCTTTCACTAATATCAAGTGGAAATCGCTCAGGTTCAAAGAAGGAACCACAAACAAAAGGAAAATACTTTCAAACTGAGCTATAATTTGGGGGGGAGAAAAAGTAACCTTTAATTTGACTCTATACCATAAACTTGTAGAGAAACAAACAAGAAGCATTTTTATTCCTTACTTTACCTGGTCCAAGACTATGGTTAATAAGAGGAGTTATTTCTCTCCAAAGGTATTATTTTATATTGATCATTGGACAAATAGAAGGCTATGATGACATAATGTGTGTGTGGCCTAGCACAGCATCCTCCAAGCCCATTTTCCAAAAAATGAAACTGCCCCAAAATACAAAATTTTAAACTATGATACAAACAAATAGAAAAAAAGCTCATGAACTTCAGTGGTCATGATTAGAGCGTGCTTGCTAAAAATCAACAATGGTTTCTCTTCTCTCCTTGCTAGTGTGCTTTTTTCTTCCCTCTTATTGTTCTCATGAATCCCAAAGGTCTGGTCCCCATAGAGTTGTATTAATGAGCCTGTTTATAACAGCTGAAGAGAAGTGGGAGCGAGGAGCAGAGAGTTTACCCCACGAACCCATTCCTTGGGGCATTTCATGTATAATTTTCCCTTCCCCGTTGTAAAGAAGAAATCACACTTGAACTCACTGATCATCTCAGGTGAATAATGTAGGGGTGAACTCTGTGCTCAAAATGATAGACACAAAACTTAATTAATTTTGCATTAAGTTGTTTTTGTAAATCTATACCTCCAGCTTTGAACCTTGGCAAACAGTGTGGGCTCATCAAATGCACCTCATCCCACCTGAGCCAAGAAAATTGGTTCTTCAGGGGAGCGACACAGCTGTTCATGAGCCAGCTGCAGCCTGAACAACTGCTTCTCCTGCTTCTCTGCTTTGCTCCCTGGCAGCCTAGAGGGAGGACCTAGGAGGAGACTCTGTGAACCTTCAGAAGTCGGAGAATTATAAATGTTGAGGAGGAATTCTGCCGACAGCCGGGAGTCATGGAGGCTGGAGGATCACACCAGAATCTCCCAACCCTGTTCTGTTCTGAAAGAATGGGTGAGATGGCAATGCTCTTACCTGCCTGGATGGGATCCACTCTGTCTGCTGGCTGGCCCTGTGTGTGAAGATTGCTTCTCTGGCTCTTAATCTTTTTAATTTTTTTTCCTGGTCTTGAGTCCCATGTTAGTCACGAGTTTGGATTTCTGATGGAGTCATTTGTGATTGCTTAATTGGCGTGAAGGAAACCGATTTCATTCCTCTCCTCAAAAAGTCACAGCTCACTGTGGCCTCTGTTTTCCCCAATCCCAGGGTTTCATCTTAGGGAAGCCATTAATTTTAAATGCCAATCCCTTCTCTGTAGGGTTGCCAGATAAAATATAGGATTCCTAGTTACATTTGAATTTCAGATAAACAATGAATAATTTTTTAGTATAACTGTGTCCGGGCAATATTTTTTAGTGTAAATATGTCCCACTTATTGCATGGGATGTATTTTTACTAAAAAAAAAAAATTTGTATTTATCTGAAATTCAAGTATAACTGGGGGGCTTCCCTGGTGGCGCAGTGGTTGAGAGTCTGCCTGCCAATGCAGGGGACACGGGTTTGTGCCCCGGTCCGGGAAGATCCCACATGCCGTGGAGCGGCTGGGCCCGTGAGCCATGGCCCCTGGGCCTGCGCGTCTGGAGCCTGTGCTCCGCAACGGGAGAGGCCACAACAGTGAGAGGCCCACGTACCGCAAAAAAAAAAAAAAAAAAAAAAAAAAAATATATATATATATATATATATATATATATATATAACTGGGCACCCTATACTCTCCCTCATCTCTACCTCAAAGGATTGGTGAGACTTTGGGTTCAGACCTGGAAGTCATCTAGGACCATGACCTCCTGATCAAGAAGAGGAAATAGAGGATCCCTAAATCTTCCTGAGCTGAGCTCCCAGATTTTTTGTGATGCCCTCAGAGATGACTGTCCCCTGGGAAGTGTGGGTTTCTTGCATTTGCAAGGAGCAGACAAAATTTCCTCTTTGAAGGTAGTATATGACCTACCTAGAATTTAATTAAAACCAGGGCAGATTCAACCTGACATTATAGCCTACTCTGAGAGTCAAATGGATACAGCCCAGAAGCATTTCAGTGGGACAGAATTATCTTTGCTCACCAGCTCTCTGTAACCATTGTGGAAAAGCAAAAACCAAACCAAACACCCACCAGAATAAAGGAATGTGAGAGTTCTCACCAGCTGAGGACTTAGATTAAATGACCACTAAAGTCCCCTTCCCCATAACATTCAAGAGCCCCCTCCTTCCTGATCCTCTGGCTTTCCAGTTTCCAATGGACTGTTCTGTGTGAGGGCATTATCAGCCTACTGGATAATCATCAGTGGAAATGGCAAGGGGGAAATAAAACAGGGTGGGGGAGGTTGATGTTTATTAGGTGAGATCCTTATCCTCTTCTTTCTGAAAAGGAGAGAAAATGCAAACAGATCTGAATGACAAGAAAAAGTCCTTCATACAAAGATGGGGGGAGAGCATTTCAAATAGAGAGAAGAACCAGTGCAAAGGCCCTGCGGCAGAGTAATGGGGCATGACTTGGTCTGGATTCCCAGAACTGAGGCTGATTCAGGAGATCTTGTAAGAAAATCAGGAAGGATACAAGTCTTTGGTGTTGAGGGATTTGGGGAGAATAACTTCAACCTGAACCTCAGGATTACACCTGATAACTCCCAGGAAGGCCTAGTGGTGGGTGCTAGCCTAGAAAGAAGGATGCAGTTCTGATCCAAGAGGCCGAAGGTTTGTGCTAAGCTGGACTCTACTAACTAACATGGCCCCCTGGATGATTGGCAGCAGGACCAGAGAGGAGGGAGGTACTGACCTGGATCTCAGGGCAAGGGGAAGCTCCCAGGTCTCGCTCAAGTCCCCTGGTGATGTGAGCTAGTTCGAGGTCCCTGAGTGTGCCTGGACACTGTTCCAGGGTGGAAACCACAAGGCAGCTGGCATCGCCTTCCCCAGAGGGGCCTACAGGACCAGGCCCAGCACACTGGGGACACTGTGACCGGTCTGGGCACTTCCTTTCCAGCTAATCTGCTTTATGGAGCTCAGCGAGGGAGCCCTGATCAGATCTTACAAAGGCAACTCTTTAGGTCTTTGAGTGGTTTGCAGGCTCTGAGGTGCCTAGTCCTGTTAGGGTGAATCACCCAAGATGAGCTGGGGTGGCTTTTTTCAAATAACAGTTCCCAGGGAACCTCAGCCTGAAAACCCTACACATCCTGTTTCCTGGAAGTGCCCCCAGAAGTTCCCATTGACTAAGGCTCCTAGTCACTGTCCTTGGACTGGCCTAGGCCTCAGGCTCTGCCTCAGAGCCAGCCCAAGCCAGGCCCCACCTGCCCTCACCCTGCACACTTCCTTCCTAGTGACTTCCTATCTTCCCCGGCAGTGTAACACCCAGCCACCCAGCCACCAGGCTCACAGTTGGGGCTCTAGAGTCCGAACTGCCTGCACCTCCTCTATTCAATCTGTGTGACCTTGGGTAAATCATAAACCTCTTAGAACCTCACTGCATGCATCTAAAAAAGTAGAGCTAATAATAGTATCTACTTCCTAGATTAGTTGTGAGAGTAAAAGGAGATAATTACCACCTGCTTGGCACAGTGTCTAAACTTGCTCTTGCTCAACAGTTATTACAAGGCTGCCCCACCCACTACCCCTCTGGCCCAGTTCAAACCTGCTTTGAGTTTGGATGTGGCGCTGCCCCTTCCTGTGCCCCAGTCCCAGGGTTAGAGCTTGGACCAGATGACACCTTGCTGGCCACTGCCCGGTTCTCTGCTGCCACCTGGTGGGCCTTGGCCCCCCTTGCTCTACAGGCCCACCTGATAAGCCACTGGGACTGATTGCAGAGATGCCTCTTTGATCTTTTCAAAACCCTCCTGCTCACACTGCTCAGGAGCCAGAATCCTCTTTACTCATCTTCCTTGGGGATTAGAACCTTCTTCAGTGCCCCACAAGACTGTGAGCTTTTGCTCTCTTACACACACCTCAACAGAACATGCTAGAATGTTATAAAAGGCAGTGCTATAAATGGGGGTTGATGCTGCTGCCCTTTTGTAGGAGAAGCTGAACAAACAGAACTTGCTTTTCGGAAAGTGGAGAAGGCAGGTAGACATCTCTGCAGTTATTGAGGCAGGCTGAAGACAGCCCTACACCCAGTGGGGTCCTGGACCCAGTTTGAATGGCCTTGAATCCCAGCTCCCATTACTACCTGTGTGACCTTGGGCAAGTTTCTTTACCTTTCTGAGCTTCAGCAACCTCATCTACAATATAGGAATAAATAATTATTACAAAATTGCTGTGAGATTTAAATGAGATTAAATATGTAAAATTACCCAGTGCAGTGCCTTGTAAGTTACTAAAGCTTGAGAAAGGCTGATGCCTCCAGGAATCTCCTGTGAAGGTGCAAACAGCTGTGACACTGCGGGATAGCAAGGTAAGCTATGAACTAATAGTGATCAGCTGTGGCCTGATGACTGCTTATTGCTAATGAGCTAACAAGTTATTGCCTGTGAAGTAAAGAGACGGTCAGATGGAGAAGTTCCGAAGGTGGAGGGGCAGTGCCGAGGTCCAGACGGGAGCAGAATGAAAGTGTGTCTACGCGGGGGGCCTAACAGGGAAGCCCCAGCTGCCTGGGGGGCTGCTGGAGGATAGCAGGAGCCCCCTCCTCCCTCAGGCACCCGAGAGCAAGAGTCGGATTCTGCCAGCCTCAGGCTGGACTCTCAGGAAGGTGTCAGGAGGACTCCTTTGGTTCCCCCCTCCAACAGGTAAGCTAGCGTCAGCGCTGATGTGTGCACAGAAGCTGGCTCAAGTGTGAGAACAATGGCCCAGTTTCTAAGGCTGTAAAGGTGGGCAGAAAAGACCACTAATAAATCAGAAATGGGATTTAATAATCCCACGGCCACTTCTGACCAGTCACTACAAAGGAGGATGGAATTGCAGGGCTGGATTAGAATGACCTTTGGGGTGGAAAGCTATTGAGGTCAACCTCAATGCCCACCACGATGTCAGATCATATGGGCGCCACCCCAGATTCCTGCCCAGGGAGTAGCAGGGGTATGGGTTCTTCTTGGGGACAGGAGGTACATGAGAGGTTTCTTAGAGGAAGATGAGCTTCCTCTGAGTCTGGAAAGGTACGCAGGAGGTCACCAGGCATGAGATGGGGAGCGGACATTCCATGCAGAGGACAAGTAAATATTTACTAGTCACAACTTGGGGGGAGGGTGGGAAGGTGACATCCACATGGAGGGAGGGCTCAGAGACATGGAACGGCCTGGCAGGTTTGGGGAACTGCTTGTCCTGTACGGCTGGAGTTCAAAGTACAGAAAAGGAGTTCAGACCTGAGGTTCTGAATCTCAGAGCACGTGAACACCATGCTGGGGCTTTTGGGCTTAGTTTGCAGGCTGTGTTGCGTCACAGAAAGTTTTTAAGCAGGGGAGAAACTGAGACTGACCAGACTTGGGGTCAATCTGTTTTCCAGTGTCATGAAAACATCTACCACCCAGGTGGCTGTGAGGATTATGTATGCTATTGTGTGTGAAAACAGTTTGTAAACTAAATCATATCGACATGAAATCTAGAAGCAGCAGTCTGTCCTTAAATGTCAGGACAATGTATTGGTGACATGGAGGGATGAATAGGAGAAAGCCTGGGCTTTGGATTCTGGTTCTGAGTCAAATGCTGGCTTCAGCATGGACTGGCTGTGGTCTTCCGCTATGCAAGGCTCTCAGCACCAGTCTGGTCATCTTCAGAATGGGAACACAGTATCTTGTCTCTCAGGGAGGCTGTTAGGTGAGGGCTCATGTGCCTGGTGTGCAGTGAACACTTACATCAGTCAGGGTTCTTGTATTGCTGGCAACAGAAACTCAACTCTGGCTACTTAAGGATATAAGGAAATTAATGGGAGGTTATAAAAGTGTCCCACAGAATTAAAAAGGAAAAACTGAGCAAACCAGACCTTAAGAAGGAATAGAATTGAGTAGTTCTGTGGACACAGGTAGAAGGAATTAATTAATGGATGGCCCTTCAGGTTGTTGCCATCAGGAAGAAA